GATGATTTGATGGCAGCATTCAAGGACACAGTGAAGTCCTTGCGCGCGTCTGGTACTGAGGAAGAATACAATGAAAGAGAACAGCTCATCCAAGAGTCGGATATGGTTGCTCCATGTGAATGTATCATGACTGAATCAAGGTTGTAGATGGACACAGCATACAAGACAAAAAGGCACTTAAGGAAGAGAAGAACAAGAAGATCGACAAACGCAAAAAAGAGGGTCTCATGTTGCGTGAAGCCGCCCTAATGACAATGAAGCGTAAGTCAGATGTGCTTGAATAGGAGGACGAGGTATCGCCCTCGAAGGTCAAGGAACCAAGACCATCGTCAGCTCTTAAGGATGCTGCGTCTGCAGTTTTCGACATTATGTCGATGATTGATGCCTCAAATGAATTCAAGCGAGCCGAGATCGACGCCAAATGTGAGTCGAACGCCCTTATGCAGAGTAAAGTGGAGTGGGAAGATTGGCGATATCTCCTGGACAAAGCAGAACGAGAAGCTCGTTTTGCACTGGAGGAACAAGAGCGCCAATCACAACTTCAGTATATGCAGAGCACTATTGACTTGCTTCGTAGCTTGGCCAAAAAGCTGTCCGAGAATTTACAACACGATATCTTTTTATGTTGTATTCTTGGCGCTTTGCAAATATTCTTGAACTGACGGCGGGGCAACGTTGAAGTACATAGAAATCTGGTTGCCACCTTTCATGCATGTGTGAATATTCGTGAGAAGTACAGCGACAGCGTACTGCACACCAACCGCTATCAACCACAGATTTTGATTTCCATTGTAGACGACAAATGTCCACATGTTTCGAACAATGACGAAACCCCACTCCACACTCACACGCACAACACTCATCTGACGATTGAATTGAGCTTGGTCCTCCGAGAGCAAAGCCCCTTTATACCCCGAGATAATTACATTATTGATCCCGTAAGATGGATCTCTGTAAAAAACATACCGGGATTCGTTGTGGAAAGTTTATCCCGCAACTCTTCCACGAAATTGCTTTTGGCCAAGAGAAATGCATCATGTCGCGATCCAGGCTCGGGACCGTACAAGTGCACTATGATTCCGTCTGGGGCGGTTACAGCTTGGTACTTTAATGCATGTTTACGCTACAAAACTCTGTCACCAAAAGTTGGAATGTCGTGAACTGACCTTGTGTCCGTTAAACGCCGCTCTTTGGACTCTCTTGTCAGGCCGACAAATCTCGCGAACCGTACCATCGATAAAGCCAATGCATGTCGTCAGTGGGGCTCCAGCGCGATGAATGGCGTCGCCACACGTTTTCATCCATTGCGAGTTGAGGCGTCTATGGTCCCAGTGGAGCAAGGTGGAATACTTGTTGTATATGTGGAACATGACTGTGTTTGAAATGCATGAGAGGGCTTCGTGGCTTCGGCCAACCGTTTCTGTCATAGTACCGAGTCGATGAGGCCATGCCAAGCGATTCAGGAGGATGCACAGAGACTCAAGAGCAGTTGCTCGGTGTCTATTCGGGGTAATTATTGGGTCGGGGATGCAGAGCAGGTTGACAAGCTCGGGTATTTCGCTCTTCCCGAACCGGAACTTGAACGCACAGTCGGCTTCTGTCTGTGAAGCGAAGTTAAACCGGCAGGAAGGGATGCTTATGACACGAGTTGACTGGGCTAGGTGCACAAAAAGAGCAGCCGCTAGTGGCAACAGGAGGGCAATCTCGTCACTCATTCTCAACTCAGTACAACCAAATTTTACTGTCCACAAAAATATTCCTGTGAGACTTTTTGTAAATTCTTGCAGGGAAAATCGTGTGGATTCAACTTGCGAAATCACTCTATTGAGCGCAACGTAGTACGCTGAGCTAGCGGCACTTACAGTAGCTTAATCTTTTTTGTTGTTCATTGGTGTAGGTCAGCTTTCTACGGACCGTGCACTTCTTTCTGCTTGCCACTGACACCTTCATGTTGCCGTCGACAACTCCTTACTGCTTGTCCTGGCCGAACACTCTGCGGATGGTAGAGTTTTGACAGCCGTCCTTGTCCGCCAACACCTGTGCAATGCCGCTAGGCAATCGAGTCGAGGAGGTCTTTTTGATATTGAGCAGGATGTCCTGAAGGATGGCCTCATGGTCTTCGTTCGTCTACGCTTGCTGACTCGCATACTGAATGTTGGTCATAGATATTTGGTTAAAGTATGTAAAATTCGAGAGGGGCTTGGGTCAATGTTCCGGCGAACTCCCCCTTTTTGACACATGAATTGGCAGCTCTTGACTCGCTTTTTCATTGAATTTTTTTGTGTCTCATTCAAGAAAATTGACCAAGGCATCGTGTGAACCTCCTCACCCAGTAGGCTATTCAAATGAGCTAAAGCGCTCTCGTAAGACGAGGCGTTAAACTCGACATTGCAAAGTCTGCAATGAGAGCATCGTGTTTCATGTGAGGGGGTTTATAATCATTGCTACCATGTATTTCAATGAACAATTCCATTACTTTGAAGAGTTACGAAAGCCTTTACAGGCGTGTATCGGCAACTCATAGAACGAGTTTCTACAGCAACAATATGCTTTTCAATGGTTCGAGTGCACTTTTGGTACTGCAGGCTTTGATTATGTTAAAGAATCCTTAGTCTAACAATTGAAATCGGGGCTGTTCGGCGGCAGGTTCGCAACTTCAATTCCGCTAGCTCCTTTTGCACGAAGCATATCAGGGGAAACCCCACGTCCTGAGTTTTCTACAAACGTATACCCCATAAATTTATAACTGCATAAATCAATAGTAATTTTGGAGTCGATGAATTGTATAATGAAGATTTTCCTGACACAGATGAATGCCCACCAGTTTTGCCGCGTGATATCGCAACAACCAAAATGGCTGGAAGAACTGCAAACTACCCAATCATACCAGAGATCTTGCGCGTTCCTACGCGCCAATCAGACACCCAAACGGGGTCCTATTAGATGAATACCACCAATCAAAAGTGGAATGTGACGAATGTTGTGGAACGCAGTAGTAGTGGGATGGTCTCACAAGTGGGATCAATTACGCAATAGGTGTGATAGCATAATTATATTTCTGCCACTGTATTCTACTAGTAGGTGACAATTGCAAATAATCTCGATGGGTTGTACTTCAAAAACAAATTTACCTGAAGTGACAAAAGCATTCAAATACACAACGCGCGCGATGAAGGTGAACGCGGACTTGTCTCTTGCCGCCGTCGTACACCACGATGATATCAATTACGTTTCGTCGCCATCGCAAGGGGTCTTCCGTGGTATGCTCGATCGAGACGGCGACGAAGTGGCACTTGCTACTACCCTGGTTCGGTACGCCCCGAACTCGTCGTTCCCGCCACACAAGCATGGCGCGGGCGAAGAATTCCTCGTCCTGGAGGGCACGTTTAACGACGAGCATGGAGCGTATCCTGCTGGAACTTATGTTCGAAATGAAGTAGGTCGAAAGCTTGCATGACCCGCTGCCATGCATGCACCTGACTGCTCTGAACGAGTATGATTCTAGATTGGATCGGTGCATGCCCCTTCCATTGGCAGCGACGGGTGTCTCATCTTGGTCAAGTTGCGTTGGATGGTCCCAGACGACACGCACGTCGTCGTGCATGATACGGCTTCCGCGTCGGCAAAGCACTGGACGGCCTTGTCGGTGGGGGGCAACGTTCGCTCTTTGTACCACAACCCGTCGACAGGAGAACATGCGTGGTTTGCCGTGCTCGGTGCTGGGGCTCGCGTGGAGAGTCTGGATGGATTTGAAGGCGGCGAAGAGGTCTTTGTGGTTGCCGGGACCGTGACAGCTCTGTACGCGGGCACGTCAACGCAATTGCTCAAGTACTCGTGGCTGCGGCTCCCGCCTTCAGCACAAGGTGGCAGCGTCGATTCGTCCACGAAGACCGTGTTTCACAACACGAGTACGTCCGAAACACACCTGTTCATCAAGACTGGCCATCTGCGTCGATTTGTTTGCAGCTTAACGGCTGGTAGTTAGGGCTAAGCCCAGGCCGTGAAAAGAAACTCGTATAGATTCCAACGTAATGCCGAGTTGGGATCAAAGATGAGGATCCATGTACAATTGCTCATCGTGGCTTGTACTGTGGCTCGAATCGGTCGTCTATACTGAGAGTTGGGAGCAACCTCAGCGTACTACTTCCTTGGAAGTGGCGCTCAAGTGGTCTCTGCGAAACAGGACACAACTCCATCCACAACGTTGTCCTCGATCAGCTTCGCGTGAATTCGGCCATCGCCAATGCACGACGAAGTAGCGAAGCCCCCTCTCTCCACCTCTTTGTTACTGGTTGTGCGTTGTGTTGTACACTTGACTTTTCACGGCAAAGTTGATGGTTTGCGTAGAACTGCCCGTGCGGCGGAGATACCACTAGTTTGTCTCGCGTTGGAGGTGGACGTGGCAGGCGAGAATGCGCTTGCCGTGGGTGCATCGCCGTGGTGCCGGGATTTGGTGTGGAGAGCTGTGCTGGCGTCGAATAGGAATGAGTTTCACTAGCAACAGTGATTCATCGTTGGTCTGCTTGCATGGCTTGTGCAATTGTTGGGGAGGGCAGCCTAGTGGACTGGCAGTAAAGCAATATGGGGCAGTTGTGCGCCAACATGCGTGGTTCGTGTTAGCGACTACGGGTAGGTGCGGACTACATCGTGGCGAAGAGCATCTAACTAGAGGTTGCGGCGATCATGGAGGGATAGCAGAGAGCAAGTTCGTCACATGTAGCTGCTTGTATGGGTCGTGCTGCAGTTCCGCCGGGCTTCGTGCATACCCACGAGGGGTGAATGGGATTCATTAGGGCGGCACATGGGGAAAAGGGTCACAGGCAACAACCCAGAGTGAGCTAGTGGTGGCAGCAGTCCATAAAACAGTGCGTCGTCGTGAACGACAGCCGAGGCTTATCGGCAGTGTGGTTGTGTCTTTTGCGTGATAGATTTGCCAGATACGTATGTTGTCCGAGACTGGTGGAGTACGCTATCCAAGGATTGCCTTGCCGTGCAACCAAATGTTTCGACCAAATACTCACACAGAACTAGTTCAAACTACAGGGCGTGACGGTCATCATGCCATATGCGCGCGTCACCTCAGACACTATTCCAAATTTGTGATCATGAAGGTTAGTGCCGATCTGAGAGCCCGAGCTGTCGTCCATTTCGACGACATCACACTCGTTCCATTCCCTA